TGACCAATCTACCAAGGCTCCTATCTTCGAGGACGGTCCTTAACATTCTGGGTGGCAACATGTTTTCTGACCAAACGGCTGATCACTGTGTAATGATAGCGGAATTCATGCCAATAATTTGCCATCTCTGCGCCTCTGATATCCGTCTTCTTGCCATTCTTACTTAAAATGATTTTGCATTCAGAAATTCGGGACTTAAATACGGATTTGATGCACGAGAAAATAGTACATATTGGACGTGAAGAAGGGAGCAAGTTGCACGTGGGGAAAAAAAATGCGCCTGATTTAAATGTCACACCTGAACGCTCACATCCTTTTAATTATGTTTGAAATTATGAACATTGCTCAACATCATGAAAATTAAACCTTATTTTCAATAAGCAATCCTGAAAAATATTTGGGGGTGCTTAACTTTTTTCCAGGTGTATATTTAAAGATCTTTTTTGGTTATATTCATAATTTCATATCTTTTACTTTTCACATATAGTTAACTTTTAATGTTATATTTTATTTCTTGTTCTTTACCACTTATTCATCTTGACACAAGTCAATGGTGCCCTTGAGGCATATTACAATGTCTCCGGCAGACATGCACAACCGTTTGGAAAATTTTTTGTGCACCATGTAATATCACTGACACAAAGTATGATGTATATTTAAAAAATGTTTAAACCCTTCAATCATGCATTTTGAACCATAATTAACTAAAATATAAAAGGAAGTCCTAAATATAATTTAACTATATCTCTAACTATAACACATTTAGGTAAGAAACAACTGTAAGTGTCAAAGTTGATCAAAGAGCCAATAACAGTCAGTTACATGTACTCTGACAAAAACATTGGATCAATTTCAAAATAACCATTGCTACATAAGAGTGTAAAATAAGCTCTTTCTGATGACTATAAACATGTGATTGTGACCTCTACATATAAAGCTCAAACAAGTCTGTACAAGATGGACGTGGCAGTTACCAGAGGTTGATAAAATGTATTACTTGTTTCAACTGCATTCATTCAGAGCCAAAAGGTTATGTAAGCATCTTATAGTCTAGACATACATCTACACAGCTGCCATTGTATTATTGAAAATACATAGTGCTTAAGTAGAGAATTTTCATAGCTCATTGGTCACATGACAATACATCTGAAGTTTTAAGTAGTTTTTCAAAGGTTTCTTTCGAAATAAATGACTTAAAACTTAGATATCATAAAACTTCGAATCATAACATACATAATGTTAATTTCATTCACATACATTGATAGTAAAGGTGTTTAATTCAATTTTGAATGTAACAGAGAAAAGGGTTTAACCTTTCAAGACAGGTGATAGGTGAAACGCCAAGTCTTCTCATTTGTTGACTCGCATTCAAAATTTTATTGAACTACTATTTCATGAATTTATGTCAATATCTTTGATATCAAACTGTAGATTATAATTCAAATTTTATTACTATACATTACTCAATTTCTTAATTTAAAAGTAAATATTAAAAAATCACAGATAAACATTGATTTTTGTGTGTATGATTCAAATTAAATGTTTGTGAAGTCAAAATACTAAGTCTACAGTTTCGTATGAATTAGAAACTCAAATTAGAGGTATTGACAAGTTAGAATATAAAATAATAAGGTCTTATCTTTTCTATTTGCTGCCCACCTCTTTCCATTTTTAGAACTGCCCCTAACATATAATTACTTCTATATATGACATGAATAACAAATTGGAAGCTCAAAATGTCCCTCTAGTGGTTTTCTCAGTCTTTCTAATGTGGCTAGAGCCATTTCTTTCTTTTGAACTAAGATTTCAATTAGGTAGGTTGTGTCTTTAGTCTGCTTGAAATTTCATATTTTTTTAAAAGTAAAATACATCTTAGTTACTAAGCTGGATAAATTATAGTTGAATTCTATGGTATTAATGTAGATATTTATGATTTTTTAGTTATCCAAATGTATATATAAAACCTTAAAAAAATTATTTTGTTTCATATCCTCCACGTACAAAATTTTTAAAGGCTTAGCAACCGAGTACAAAGGTTGTAACTAGAAGAGATAATTGTTTGCTTTACTTCTTTAGTTACTGTTCTATGTTTTAGGAAAAATATGTTTAAGAACTTGTTTCAAAATAGCAATCATCTATATACATATATAATGTATAATAACTGAAATGTGACTGCATTTTACAAAATACTAGTTGATTAAAACACAGCCAAGACAAGTTACTTTTTACAGGCTGAAAGGTCAATATAATAAAATAATAAAGATATATAATTGTACAATGTTATGAGATTTAATCTATTTCATCTAAACATTTATGTTTTCATGTTATAACTTGTGTTCATTCATGAAAGATGCATAAGTTATGTTTATTTCCTATTTTTGTTATGGTGGTTGTGAGATAGTTCAAATCTACCAAATCTGTACATAGATTAATTCCCGAAAATAACAGATAAAATAAAAAATTTTTTCTTAAGAAATGTTTGACAACTATCCAGACATTATAAAGATTTTGCATGTGAAATTTCAATATTTTCTGATGCATAAAAGTATTTTTAATTTTAAAATGAAAATTACTTTGCATGATAGATAGGCAAGATGTTAAAAGAAAAAAAAGGAATTAGAAAAACATTACTTTACAAACCTTACAATTTAATAAAAAAAATTAGATATTTTACATATGAAAGCATTCTAATGTTTACTGATAATGTGCCAAATTTCATTAATATTTGTTTACTAATTTAACGAAATGGTTACGAGGTCGTCACATTGACTGACCCCATATTGAAAGAGTTAAAGGGGTACCCATTGCGAAAGGGTTAAAAAGGGTTCCCTTACACACATATAACATAAAAGGATATTTATAGCTCAAGTTCATGATAAGAGTCTAAAAACATATTTATTGTAGTTTTTGTGAAATGTACATTTCATTTCCTTTTGGAACAATTAAATATGTATGGTTTTTTGATGTAATTTGTTTTTAGACATGTATGTAAATTTACTATGTAATATTCAAGTTATTAGTATTTAAATATATTTCCTTTAGTTGCAATTAATGTTTTCTCTACTTGCTTAAAATTTTTCATTCTAATTAAAACTTTCAATTTGTCAACAGATAATAGCTCTTTTTATCCTTGCCGTTAGGTATACATGCAAAAAGGGGAATTTTTATTCACAATTACTTTACATTTTGGATTGTTCAACATTCACACAATATCATATTATAATATATTTTTTTTTCTCCAATTGATTTTTTATTATTGTTAAGGTTAAGAACGTATTATATAATGAAATCTAAATGGTTTGTTTTCATTGTGGTATTTTGTGAGGTATACCAAAAAATGATTAAAATTATCAAGTTTGAAACACTGCCAAAATATCACCCATAATCTTAAATTAGCTAGCCTGCTAGTCAATTCTTTTGCATTTATTAGTTAAGAAACGCATTTACAGTTAGATACTGTTTTAATTTTTTCTGAAAGGCCAAACTTTTCAGAACTTGTTAACCATCCAGACATAGCTTTGGACTGAAGTTGACTTTTCACTTTTTAATCAACTTCTATGAAAATGTTTAAACTTAGCTACCACTCTATGAACAAATCAGTAACGTACCTAAATAATACCATATACCCAGTGTTTAACTTGTATAAATATATAGCATAAAATATTATAATAATGTAATTTTTAAATTTTCATATGTTACGGCTATACCTGCATTTTTGAAATATTTTCCCTTAAAAGTTTTGAGTATGATATAGCAAGACTTGTTTTCTTCTTACCAAGCTAATTCTAATTATTTTTCTGTACAATCCTCAAATATTGCCAAAACCAAATGAAAAATCATCCAATCATTAGATCACTCTTACTGAATGCCAAACATTATGCAGTGTTTTGTACCATTCATATTTAATTCATGCACAAGTTATATTGCTTTTTGCAGCTTGTCAAAGTAAATCAATTTAATGCTGAAAGTTTTCATTATTGAAGAAAAAAAAAAAGATCTAAGATACTATTTTAGCTTACTCTTGTGGCTAAAATTTCATAATCTGTACAATAATGCACTGTTGCAAGTAAAAAGGTTTTTTACAGTTCAAACCATAAATAAATTCTACCCTGTCTGAAGTAGGTAGGAAGGATAAAAAGGAATTAATAAAAATGTTAACACACCTTTTCTTTCAATGTCTGTAGTTCTGGGGATTCTTCTGGTCTTATAATTGGTTGTTCAACAGTTGGCATTTTTTCTGGACTTTCAGCAGAGAGCTCAAGCTGCAAAGTGGTTTGTTTAGTTTGATTTGTTTCAAAAGTCTCTAGGTTCCCTCCTTCTTTTAAAAGTTTGATCTGAAATAATCAGTACAGACTCACAACAATGACAGTATTTTCTAGTCTACTAACTAGATCAACCAAAATTTTTTATTCTTTGAATAAATCTTAACTCATTTTCCAGATGCTTATACAATAAGGAGTCAAATAAGAAGACAATATCTGAATAGGTTTACTAGTTTTCAAATAAAAAAACAACACTTGATAAATAAATTACAGTCTTAATAAAAGTACTTCAATTTTAACACAATAACATCTAAACAGCATTCATAACACTAATATGTCAAGTTTTAAGTCAATCCTTTATTTTCATCACTGATGCACTCTTATGCTAGTCTACAAACCATAAATGCATTTCAATCTAACTTAACCATTATGATGAATAAATGTTATATCCAAATGAAATTATTCAGTTTTTCAAATAGAAGGAAGACATTTTCAATTTTATACCTCAGAATTCTATTTGTATTCTATTATTTGTGATTATTAATAACAACTAAATTATGTACTTAAAATTTTCCTTAGCTGAAAATGTATTTCAGATAGATATTTACTTCTGTTCCCCACTAACGGCTATCATCTTGTGTGCAAGTGCTGCTGAATTTCCTGCACATGCCACAAACCTTGAACAAACTCCCATCCCTACATACAATCATAGTGCAGTAGCCCTCAACCAATAAGATAGTGACACAAACTCCATGCTTGGTAATCCTTGTAAGTATTAGCACATGATCATTGGCTCTTTTTTGTCAGGGCAAATAAAATGCACTAGAAGTGGAGAGAAAGGGTGGGCAGTGCACTTTGAGAGACCATATCCTTCTCAAGTAAGGAATACCCTTTGCCGATCTTGTTTTTCTTCATTTATATATTACATGTAAATTCGATGACGAGGAACCCACTTTGAGACTAATAATGGCTGGAGACGGCTTAAATGGGTAATGAAGAAAAACTTTAATATAAGTTTAACATGACAGCAAATGTACAACGTTTCGACAAGGTTTTGTCATCATTTGGTACCT